CTTAAATCATCCGAGGCATTGTAGTATTTTTAGACAATAGTCTGAAATCCGACAATCGGGACACGATCCGCGACCCAGCCGACGCTATCGTTAGGCCCACCTGTATTAGTCAATGAGCGAAGTGCGAGGACTGGCCAATCACCAGTGCTCCCTTTTTCTCCCGTCGGCTTTGTCTGCACTTTCGTTTTCGTGCAGACTTCCAACATTTCAAACATTTTCATCGGAACCTGAGTAGAAATACGAATACGAAAAAGGACAACGTAAATCAGATCTACTTTCAGTTTCATGCATGAGCGGCCATTTTGAATTTCGTCTGTTGACTGATTGTTAGGAAGTGGATTCATTCAAGAAGGCCTACTCACTTGTCCTACTAGATCTAGATCTATAGATCACTATAGATCTAGACCTCTATGGAGGATCCATATTCCAATTCTATTGTGTCAAACCCTATTATAGGTTGTGCAGTAATGTTAATGTTTGTAAAAGTGCATTTCATCAGGTGCATAAATTATAAGACTCTGTTGAGTCCCTGCCCTCTGTTCGGATGCGGATTTTGCTCAAGGCCTATATTCCTATTCCCTTGTTCCACTAGATCTAGATTTATCTTGTTTATTGTTTGGAGGATTCAAATTCAAATTCTATTGAGTTTTTGCATTAAAGCCTATTATAGCAATGCAGGCCATTATGCTCCTTGGTTTTTTTTGTTTGTTTTTTTGTTTTGTTTTTGTTTTGTGTTTTTTTTTTGGGGGGGGGGGGGTAAAATCATTTTGGACTTTTGCTGGCTTTTTTATATTAATTTTCTGAAGGGCCAGAGCAGGTGGGGGGTTTTTTTGGGGGGGGGGGCTTTGGGGGTTGATGCTCCACATCATGTACCTTTACAAGTGCTGCTATTTTATGACACCCACGAAAGTACTTATGGGGGGAATGTGGGGATTTGGGGGGTGTTGTATGGTGTTAGCAAAGTTTTCAGACAATCTGATTGAGGCTCACATGCATGTTTAGGCATTGTTTCAGGGATTCTGGATATAAAGTCTTGGGAACAAAGGAAGACTTTAGTCCAAGCCTATACAAGTTCCCAGGACAAAAATCAAAGTAAGGCTGGGGAGGGGTCTAAAAGGCAACAAACCTTTCAGTACTGTAGGGAAAATGACAATGGTGTTCGTCACCAGACATGAAGGGGAATGTTTTGCTCCACTCTTGGTGTGAGTGAAAAAACGATTCAGAACTGGGTGCGAGAGGGAAATGCGCTGCCTTGTACAGCTCCTCCTAAACCACCTGGTGCAAGAAGTAGATCTCATGAACCAGTCTCTCAAGAAGACATGAAATTCTTGTCAGACTGGCTCCATGAAATACCTTCAGCCTTCAGTGCCATCACACTACTGTAGGAAACAGAACACTTACGAAGGTGTTAGACTTATCTTTCCAGACAAGTCCTTGGTGGAACTCCACCGGGACTATGTCAGCCATTGCGTCGTTAATGGCAAGAGGTCCGTTGGTAGCAAACTGTTCAATGAGACTTTTAAGAAATTACAATTTTCTACATTTGTGCCACACAAAGACCAGTGTGACACTTGCATTGCTGCCAAACTCGGCAATGTTGAAAAGAATGTTTATGATTAACATATTAGGCAAAAGATTGAGGCGCAAAATGAAAAGGTTTGAGACAAATCGGAATCTGGTCCTGATACTTCTGTCTGGACAATGGACTTGCAGTCTGTGTTGACATGTCCCAAAACAAAAGCATTAGCATTTTATTACAAAACAACTAACACTACGTACTTCAATCTTAAGACAAAAGAAGCATTCAGTTACATTTTTTACGAAACACATGCAGACCTCTCCAGCAACATGTTTGGATACTTACATTACAGACATTTCAGTACATTCCTCACCCAAAATCCCCAGGGCAGGTCAAACGTCTGATTGTTTTTAGTGATGGGTGTGGCTATCAGAACAAGTGTGCAAATGTGTCTAATGCTCTTGTTCAACTTGCTATTAAGAAAAATGTTTAAATTGAACAAAAGTATATTGTCTCTGGCAACACCCAAATGGAATGTGACTCTGTTCTCAGTGTTATTGAACGGAAGATGCGTAATTGCGATCTGTACATGCCACATGACAGTCTTGTCGCCATTCAAATAGCTCGACAGAACCCCTCTCCCTGTGTGGTTATAGAGGTGAATTTTACTGAGCCTGTAAGATTGTCCTCTGACTTTGTCAAGTCCATCAGGCCAGGCAAAAAAACTTGTGATCCTACAGTTTCAGATGTGCATGCCTATCAGTACTCTACTGATTCTGATGGTGTGCACATACCACTTTGTGGACACTCAGCGCATTTCTTCGCCAGGCACGAGAAGTCTGTTGCAGTCACTCGACCCACCTATGCGCCAGACTACACTAGCTACGGGTGACCTCTTATGAAGTTATTTCCTTTTAATTAAAGTTATTTTTCTACAGTCATGCGCACTAGAAAAGAAAGAAGATTGGTTTATGCGCCAATTTCAGTCATCCTTTCGCTTGAAACGGAACGGTGTGTTTCTCATTGTTTGTAGCTTTTTATTGACAAGTATTCCAAGCGTGTTTTTCAACTATGGCTTCACGCAGATCAACGACAGACTCCTCTAGATTCCAAGCAATTCTAGCGTCTGTTTGTGATTCAGATTCAGGATCAGTTATTGCATGGAGCGATGATGATGAAGCGAGTAGTAGTGTTACTAGATCTAGTGTGACTGTCTCTGAAGAGACTACTGGTCCTAGCACGAGTGCGGGTACCAGGCCTAATCCTATTTCTCAACAACCTAGGACTGGTAAATGAGATAGGCCTAGATCTGAAACGAACGTACAGACAGCTGATCGAGAGGCTAACACTACACAGGTAATGAGGCGAGGGTGCATCATAAATCTACATGCAGATGATTATTTTCTTGGTCTAAGTCTAAACCTATACTAGATCTATATTACTTTCGTGTAGACTATAGTTAGAATATATTGAAGTTAAGAACGGGCTCTCCTTTCCTAGATCTACTGCTGTTTTTTAAAAGACAAAATCTAGATGTGCACTGCCCTCTCATCTCTACATATTATATTGGTGGAAGTTCGTCACTTTGGCCGCCAAAAACTTCCGAACCATTTAACTTTCGATTTTGACAAAATTAATGGTGGTTCAGAATCATTTAAAGGGTGCAGTTTTATTTAGGAGCCTGAAGTCACTGTAGTTTGTTTGTTGTTTGTATGAGTATTACAGCGCTCACAACTGCATAAGGTCACTGTAGTTTAATTTTCAGTTTTTCATTCGTTTCGTTCAGATCTAATCTTGGGAAAGTCCATCTTCTAAGACGCCATTGTAAACAAGTGAGTTTCCGTTCACTAGCGGTGCGCACTGATTCCACACCTTTGAAATTCTGGAGTGTACAACAACGAAAGCGAAATAGAGAATCAATCTATAGACTACATCTATTATATTATTAGGCAATTTGGAAACAAATTTTATCACTTTTCCCCATAAAACCACGACAGTTACAGAGTTCAAAGTTGGCAAGAACCGGCAAAAAGATATATAGGTCCCCAAGAAGGAGCCCGATTATTTATTTATTAATTTCCTGAATTTAGACAAATATATTAGACAAAAAGTTCCTGTCCTTGTTTCGCTTAAATTGAGATTATTCCACTGACAAACGAAACAAATCTGCATAGCTGCCCGTCACAGCGAAAGTGCCGGAAGTGATATTTCTCGAGGTGCATTTTTTTCCGATAGTATAGATCTAGACCCTCTAATTTTTTGCATCTTTCAAGATTTATTGCTCTATTCCAGTAGAGTGTAATTAAAATTTTCAGTTGACGTTTATGCACCTACCATTCCTTTCATCAAAAGGGGGGCCCAGCAAGTTTGTAAATAAATATGGCGTTAGCACTGTAAGACTTCATTGTAATAATAAAGAGGTAAAAAGAAATAAACTAGTGACATGAAAACGTAGATCTAGATTTAAAATAAAATGTAAAATGGTACTGTAGCCTGTCAACAAATCTGCACCACCTCCTCATTACCGCCATGTTATATTATTTGACGAAACTGACCGACCAGACACCCTCGTATGGGAAGAGTATCCCGATGAAGATCCTTACCAGCCAACCTGGCTCGGTGAATTTTTCACAGAGAAACTGTACACTTGTGGACACGTCCTACTTCGAATTGTACTTCAGTGACGTTGTCATGTTATGCTGCTGAACAGCTAGCAACAGTCAAAGAGACCAACTTTTGGAAAAGGCGATGGAAGCCAACTGATTCCGTGCAAATAAAGGATAAATACATGTAGATTTTAAATTGATGCGTTCAGGTGTTGATCATTCAAATCGTCATGGGGTTGAACTCAAAACCAAGTCTCGACGACTACTGGAGTTCGTTCTGGTTGGTGGATGTGAACTTTCGTGAGGTGATGTCACATCACCATTTCAAGATGCTGTCAGCGCTCTTCCACTTCAGGCAAATAACTACTTTTGCCACTTTTGGGATTGTGTTGGGAAGCTATAGACTAGATCTATTTGCCTAGATCTAGCTTACATTTATCTAGAAGAATCTACTGTTATTTTGAAAAGAAAATACAGGCATAAAAGTAATAAGGAAAAGCGATCAAGCAAATGTTGATCATGTCGCCTGACAAAAACTTTCTTCTTTTAGTTATGCTGTCCTAAGCCCTTATCACTACAAAATAAATATATCTAGATCTAGTATATTTTAGGCTGACCTCTGTGTGATTAAGTTAGATTCTAATAGTAATTCTTATCATCATACTTCGGCCGCTACCTGGCAAAATTCAAAATATATGGTCACATATTTGTAAAAGTCATTGCACTACAGGTTGAAGAACCAGTAGTTGACTACCCCTGAGTTCTAGCAGGGGAAACGCACAGAAGAGATGAGCATCATACTTATCATGCTGAATCTAATTATAAAAATCAAAGTTCTTCAAGCATTTCCAGGTGTATTATTTTTTCCAATATCAACTCTACTTATCCTATTGTTTCTGTTTTTTCCCTTTTTTGTCCCAGTGACGTTCGCCAACACATTCCTCGAAGGACAGACGGTAACGACCCTCTTCAGAATATCAGGAAACTGCTGGAACTCATCATCCCTAGATTCTCAGCGTGCTACTACCCCCACATGGAGCTCAGTATTGATGAAAGTATGGCCCACTTCAAGGGTAGGTGTCATTTTTGGCAATACATGCCGGATAAGCCTACAAAGCGGGGTTTCAAGAGTTTCAACTTCTGTGATTCTACAAACTATTACTGTTTGGATCTGGTTGTTTACACAAGCAAGAACCATTTCACAGTTCCCCAAGGTAAATCGTTTACCAGATATTTAGTGGAGACCCTCATGAGGGACTACATGGACTGTGGGCAGGTCCTGTATATGGATAATTTTCATTCTTCACCATCTCTTTTTTGAGTCTGCAGGAGAGAGGAACAGGAGCAGTATGTTCAATTTTCTTATTGTGTGGGTAATTTTATGAATTTTATATCATTTACTGACAAAAATGCTCTTTAGTGACATACTCTCGGGCTCTGAAATTGACCTCCGCTTTCGTCATTTTTTGTTCTTTTTTACAGTGCCTCTTGTCAACTTATGCGTCTTTTCATAATTTCTTAGAGGTGTATACTGAAGACAGATGTTCAAATGAACACTTTCGCAAATAATGTTGAATGGATAGTGTTTGAACATTAGGTTTTGGGAGTAACAATAACCTTTTTGTTATTTTTCTAAAGAAATAGCTAATTGTTATTCAAAATCGCCACAACGGTCATGACATATAAAAATGTTCTTTGCGTTATGTAACAGTGTGTTCAATTGTCTAATTGTGTGTATAATTTTATTGACTTTCATGTACTCTTTACTGAGAAAAATGCTCTTTGCTGACACACCCTGTGGCTCTAAAATGACCTCCGTTTCTGTCACTCTGGTACCTTTTTACAATGCCTCTCGTCAACTTCTTAATGCATCTTTTCAGTCTTTTTTCTGGATATTATTGAAGATGGGTGGTCAAATGAACATTCTGGTGTATTATGTGTCTTATTTGGAGTGTTTGGGTCCTGTTTAGATGGGTCTGAAGGCAGTTTTTGGGGTATAGTTAGGTGAGCTGTTATTATTATTTTCAAAATGGCCACCATTGTTATGTAAAAAGATTTTTTTTCTCAGTCCGACAGCTTGTTATCTTTTATGTCCATCCTGAAAATTTCATGTCAGTACATGCTCTGGTTATAAAGAAATAAACATATTTCTGAGCTACCTTAATTTTAATGTGATTCACCTCAATGGTATGTGAAGTCAAAGGTTTTTCACTCTGATTCTGTGTTATGGTAAAGTGTTAAAACATACAAATCCCTATCTATGAAAGATAGATCAATGGTTTTTTTTTACCATGTTCAAGAAAAATAAATAAGTGTAATTTGGTACCAATGATGAACGCCGGATTCCACTGTGCTCCATAACATAAATATGTGCTTAATAGAGGTTTTTGTGACATTTGGTCACTTATGAACAATAGTACTTGATTTTTCACAAGTTCCATATTGTCTTTCCCTTTCTTTGAACCCCATGATTATCCCACACACTTTATCTCATGCCTTGAATTCTTGTGTAAGAAACAGCCTTGCCGTCCTCTTTCAGAAAATATAGGGTTATTGGGGTATCAAACTTTTAAAAAGCCTGCCATAAATTGATTTAAAGTATTACGTCATAATTATTACAGGTTGAAATTTTAGCCCACAATCTCAGTACCACTAAACATTTTATCCCAGCTCTAATAGGGTTAAGTACAGGTGGTAATTCATATCACAGTACTAAGTTTAACCTGTGAGGGTTGTTTCTGTGAAGAGGCTCCAGCCTGGCCAAACTGGAGGAGGGCGGGGGCAGCCGGTCAATCCTCACGCCACGAGAACGGAGGGACTTGAGGCTGTCCTCTGTGACAGATCCGCACTCCATGACTTGGAGGAACCTCAGCTTAGGGCAGAACTGAGACAGCAAGCTACTCGGAAGATTAAGAAAAACAGAGAGGTATGAGTCACAACAGAATACAATTTTTGTTGTTGTTGGTTCTTAGCAAATCACAAACAGAAATGTCAGCCCCCCCCCCCCCCCCCCCCCAAAAAAAAACCCTTACTGTTATGGGCTCCAGTGTTATGACATTACAAGGAGAGTGAATACCAGGATTTCTGAGCATTTTTACCTTTCAATCAAAATTAAAGAAGTACAATTCTTTCACCAGAGAAAGAGGGAGGGAGGGAGGGAGGGAGAGAGAGAGAGGGAGGGAGAGAGAGAGAGAGAGAGAGAGAGAGAGAGAGAGAGAGAGAGAGAGAGAGAGAGGGAGAGAGAAAGAGAGAGAGAGAGAGAGAGAGAGAGAGAGAGAGAGAGAGAGAGAGAGAGAGAGAGAGAGAGAGAGAGAGAGAGAGAGAGAGAGAGAGAGAGAGAGAGAGAGAGAGAGAGAGTGGTGTAACACCACTGCCATTGTGATTGTCGATGACTACAACGAATCTCCTTTAGTTTTGATAGTTTTTCAGCGCTCGCAACTGCATAAAAGGTCATAATAGCGCCAGAAGATTAGAGGTGTTACAAGAGAGTAACAAACATAAAAAAGAAGAAGGGGAGAAAGGACGATAGATGTTTGATAGGAAATAAGGAGCAAACCACACCAGGGCACTCACCAACCACCCATTATTTTTTACGAATCTCCCCCTGCGAGATGAACAAAGATTCTCACAAAAGAGGACATGAAAATAACTTTAAGTAACAAATACAAACCATTTCATTTATCTCATACAAAGAAAAAAGCTCCTAGTCCTAGACTGGGCAAAACAGAGCACTAAATTCTTTAAAATCGATTTTCACAAGGTAACCTTATATAATTTATAAATCAGTCTCTCTTCTGAAAGAAATTAGTCTTCACTGAGCCTTGTATGTCTCACGCCTACAGAAACCCATAAACACAAAAAGACACAAATGAAACCAAAATACATACACATCATATGACTATATATATGACACAACAAACTTGCATTTATAACATCACACAGCATAATAAATTCACCATCATTATGAAAATCATAACATCCGTCAAAATTCACCATGACACGTCAACAATTCTTTACTCACTGAATTGACTGGTTAGTAATTCTCCAACACCCCTTGAGGTTCAGCTGAATCAAGTTGGGACAGCTGTGTGCCACAGCCACAACCGCCCTGTCTGTTAAACCATACAAATTGCTCATCAGCAGGTGCTTCAGACTGAAAGAAAGACATTGTGCTCTGAACAGAGAAGGAAAAAATAAACATCAAGACACTACAAAACTTCAACCCTACAAGAAATAAACAAAAACATATGACAAATGAGAAAAATCACCTGAAAAATCAATTTAACACACAGCAAACAAGTAAGACATTTTGCTCTGAACTTAAAGTAAAAATAAAATAAAATAAAAACATGTACTTTCCAATGTACCAGGATCTGGACAATAAAGATGTATCTTATCTTATCTTTCCCACAAACTCAAAAAAGAAAATGATTAAATGAGAATGAACACATCATCAATTAGACACAAAGAACACTCACATAATATAAAAAGAAAAGAAAATACAAACGGCAAAAACTGTAATTCTGTAACTTATAACATATGATGTTTATATAGAATGCTATACACACAGAGTCATGAAGCGAAAAGACTAAACAACAAAAAGAGACAATAGTATTCCTCAGAAATCATAAACATAGAGCAGAAGGAAAAGAGTATGAGAGAAAGTAAGAGTTGCAAGGAATAGACTGTAAGGGCAATGAAGGAGCAGTTCACTGTTCATAGATAGTCAGCAGGACACTAAACACACTTTGCAAAACACCAAGAGTTGTACTGGGTTGCTGGTCCCAGCTGATCAGTACATGATTTATTTGATCATGAGAGAAGATGAGTTGTACTTCTAGTTTAGTTTATGCTGCCTCAACAAAGAAACAAAAATGCCAGATAGATATTTTTCCATAAACAGGGGGGGAAGCAGGCCGCACATGAACTTGCCCACATTAGAACAATTTTCATTAATCTTGTGAAGTGTGTGCCTCAATAGATATATTACATACAAATTTACACATATATTTTGAAAACAAAAAAAATTCCCAGGAAAATTTAGACATTAAACCCACGACCCAAACTTAAACGCTCTTCTGCACCCAAGTTCATTTTTATCAACTGCGCAATACCTGCCGGTAATCTCACGCATACCATACAAATAACTTAACACTATTACTAACCTTGGAGAAGTCTTTACTAAATTCACAACGAGATCATCATTGACATTCCAGCAGCCCGACATGTCCAGAAATTCAATATCTCTACGATTGCACAGAAACGATAAGAAATTGTCCAATGTCAACCACACACAGTCTCTCAAAGCCAGATGTTTCAGATGGCTGCAATTCACCCCAATACAGTACATACTGGCCCCAGAAAGGGCTATGCATCCAGTTAGGTCTATTTTCTCCAGTCTAGGATTGGATATTATCACTTTCAACAGGAGACCATTCGTCATCCAGGACTTTGCTCCCCTCACAGACAAAACTCTAAGGCTTTGACAGTCTCGGGTCATGATCTCAAATGCTTTAGGAGAAAAATTATCCTTGAATGGGCTAGTGTTCACAACATGAGAATAACTGAAGTGCAGCTGCACCAGCTCCAGGCAAGCTGGACTCACTGCACGAAGTCGGAAAAGGTCAGGAACACTGAGATATGGCAATATATGATAGGACAAGACTTGCTCCCACGGTAAGTCCAGCAGAGTCATTGAGTCATTCAGACATGAATTGTCTTTGCTGCTGAAGAGAGACTCTGTGGCCTCACTACACGAATCCTCAAACAAAGAGTCATCCTTGGGCTCACAGACTTCGTCGCAGTTACAGCTATGACAAGGCTGCTTGTCTGGCAAGACTGTCATGTTATCACCCTCTCCTGTTGAGCAGTTCTCAGATTTTGTGTCTGATGTAGACATGACAAATGCCTTCAGGGAGTTCAAGTTGTAGTAAAACACACCTAAATAGAAAACAAAACAGAGAAAATTAGTTCATACATAGGGTGAAAAAGATGAAAGAGAGCTTGCAGACTTTCATCGAGCATTATAATTTGTGCCTTTCAATTGGAAAACAAGGAAAATACATCACAAGCATGCACTTTAAAAACGAGAACAAGTCATATTATAATATATATATACAAATAAAGCACACACAGCCCCCTTCCCTAAAATCCCCCAATGCATCACAAATCACAGCAAATTAGTTAAATTATATTAAATTATAATAGAACATCCGTTGAAAAGTTTCAGTATTTTTAAAAATTGTGAACTTCAGTGCTGTATCAGTATAGGCAGTGAAGAATGTGCAATTCTCCAAATGACATTTTATTTGAAGATCTGGATTCAGGTAATAAAGTAAAAATAGAGTAAGATTTGATCCTCCGATTCCTGAGATTCCTTTGCCCTGATATCATTATCATCTATAGAAAAATCTAAATTCTCTACAACTCTTGTCATTTTGTACAGATATCTAGGTTCTTTCCTGACTTTTTTTATTCACTACCCTGTGTGACTACAGCATTAAATTTGCATTCCTTGACAGCACCTCTTCCAGAAGTGCCATTGTTGCTTTGAAACAGTCATACAGGGTCGTACAGTAGTGAATTTACATCTGAAAATAAAGTACCTGAGCCTGACGACGTATCTGGTGAATATTCTAGAAGTACAAAATGACAAATAAGTTTTAAGATCAGAAAAATATAAAACAATAGACAAGTTATCAGGGACATCTCAGGGTCAAATCTTACTTAATTACTCAAATCTCCAAAGTCACTTTTGTCATTTAGAAAATTGCCAAATAAGCTGCATCACTTTTAGCATTTTAGAGCTATTTAACCCTATCCGTATGCCTAGTGTCATTTTGTACCCCAGGGGTTGTATTTTTCACATTTTATAATACTTCTAGTGCGAAGATCTCTTTGAAACCTTCAGAATTTCCCCCCAAAATCTTTTTGACAGACTGCTATGCAAAGCACATCGCAATTGGTGATGTATCTTTTTGACTAGTGGTAACATTTCAAAACGACCTTTTTTGCGCCCAGTGGGAAGTGACCCCACTCTCCAAAGAGGAAAAAAACTCTTATTCTAATCTGTATCTAGCGGGGTAATACACGAACCCAACACATCGTTTGCATGGATTACTAGTAATTGCTACATGATCCAAATTTTCCAACATCTGGGTTTCTGTTGGGTATTGTTCGCACCCTTGCAGTTGAGCCAGAGACATCTGATGGCCTAATCATCCTAAATGATTTTATAACATGTATCGAGACTGATTGTTGTTGGCAGAGAGAGAGAGAGAGAGAGAGAGAGAGAGAGAGAGAGAGAGAGAGAGAGAGGGAGAGGGAGAGGGAGAGGGAGAGGGAGAGGGAGAGGGAGAGGGAGAGGGAGAGGGAGAGGGAGAGGGAGAGGGAGAGGGAGAGGGAGAGGGAGAGGGAGAGATGAGTGCATGCTTTAACCCTAAAACAGAAACAAGTATGATATATATACTAGTGTACAGCCTTATTTTTGGGTGTTTTTTTGGGGGGGGTTTTAAAACTGATGTGTATTGTTTTCTTTTCCAAATACACAACAAATTACTGATACTGATATGTTCTGTTTTCAATTTTTCTGTACATAAAACATGAAAATCATGAAACTTCGCGTTGAAAAAGTACAAAACATGTCGCAAATGGGGTTACGCTAACTTGCATAATTTTGCTTTTTTTGTGCATAATTTGGCCTTCTAAATTTGCATAATTCTACGGGGACAGGTTATAGCTCAAAATTAAGTGCTAATTTGATCGTCTATAAAGATGCTATGCTATGGCTATTTAATTTTTCGAATTGAGCCGAACTATGCGGTTCGCCATTTCGTTTTGCCCGGATGTTCTCTCAAGGTCTACTCCTCTCTGTCTCTTTCTGAGTGCAGTCTATCGGTATGGACGATCAAATTGACAAAAACAAAGATAAAAAATGATGTTTAAACACAAAAGCAAATTAATTTGGTCGTCTACAAAGATGCTACGGCTATTTAACTTTTTGAATCGAGCTGAACTATGCGGGTTGCCATTTCGTTTTGCCCGGAAGTTCTCACGCTACTCCTCCCCCTCTCTCTCTCACTTCCCACAGACAAAATTGCACGTTTTCAACACAAGAGCGCTGGAACGTTTGATTTTGTTCAAGGCACAAAATTCTACACTTCTGTTCTCACAGTGTAGAATTCTATATGGTCCACGGTACGGTGAACGCTATACTGTGGGCCTAGGCTATCACGGTGAACGCACACAGGGTGAGAATAGCCAAGGTGCTATTTCGGTAGTTCCCACCCCCTTATTTGAGCCTAGATCTACAGTGAAACTCGGATTCAACAAGGTCGTTGGGCCTGACCATTAAATCTCGTTGAATCCGAGAGTTCGTTATAGCAAACACGAGGTTTTGTGCAGATAATTACATGCACTGAGCAAGTAATGTATAAACAGAAGTCACAAGTAGTGCCTGAAATGTCTGCATATTATGAGCTGTGCAAAAAAAAGACCGATTCGTTCAAATACACAAGCCTGTGTCATCACGATTGTTTACCAAGAAAAAGTTGTATTGAATTATTAATTTATTGCTGTGTAGAGCCGAGCATACGGCATCTTTTGATTCCGTAGACCAGCGCACATTTCAGTACGTAGATCTACGTCAAGACTAGCTTTTATTGTAATAATGATCAGTTGCTGAGGGAAAAAAAAGACTGACGCGTTTGTATATGCGACGTTCAACGCCCGGACCGCTAGTGCCCCCCTCCCTCCCCGACACGCACACACAGCCACACGTGTACAGGCCGCCCATCCGACCCCGACACACGCCAGAGTAGACATGTACGCGTGCCAACAACACACGTGTTGGTATTTAAAAACGGAGTGTCTACGTACACGTTAACCGGGCACCTAGCCTCAGTGTCTACGTACACAGTAACCGGCAACCGGGCGCGTAGTCTCACTTTCATGAACACGGTAACAGGCATGTAGCCTCAATTATATCTACGTACACGGTAACCAGCAAACGGGCATGTACTCTCAGTGTCACCAGAGGCTATATAATTAAATACTCTCTGGTGTCACGCACACAGTAACCGAGCAGTTCAGAACTCCAAGTTCAGTTTTTGTCATCCGGTGTTGCCTTCATCCCCACCCCTCCCCCGACTGTACCTTTAAAAAAATCAATAATCTCCCCCCCATCTCTCCATTCCGGAGCCCTATACTTTGCAGCGCACAGACTTTGAATGAACTTTGGTGACCCCAACCGGTACTCACAATGAACAATGTGATGCACATGCACAGGTTCACTGACCTGTCACGATGGCGAGCCAGACAAGACGCTTGTGATTTTCTTTTTTTTCCAGCAAGTGACAGCAAAGGAAAAATATTGATTTATTTTCATTCCGGTTACCGTGTACGTAGATACTGAGACTAGGGTGCCCAGTTACTGTGTACGTGGATACTAAGACTAGGTGAGCCTGGTTACCATGTACGTAGATACTGAGACTAGGTGCCTGGTAACCGTGTACGTAGATACTGAGACTAGGTGCCCAGTTACCGTGTACGTAGACACTCCGATTTAAAAAGGCCGCTGATTGGTTGCATGCCATCGGCTAAGTGAATAATGGTTCATGATGCAGGTGCAATGGATGATTTCTGGGAATAGATAAAGTTTGTTCTGGGAGAAAAATTAGTGAAGCCACATCTGCGGGGGCTGTTCACCCTGGAAGAGACCTCGTTGAATCCGAGCTCGCTGAATCTGGGTTACTTTTATTGATTTTAAAGAAGGAAAAATACGAGGAATCTATCTCATACTCATCTCGTTGAATCCAAGCTCGTTAAATCCGAATTCCACGTTTGTTTTTTGTTTTTGGAGTGTATACAGACCCGATAACCGGGAATAAAATCACAAAGTATACAGACCCGGTAGGGGAACTCTTTTGTGATTTCGAAGTTTCAGCGCCCAGACCCTGTAGTGTGTGTGTGTGTGTGTGTGTGTGTGTGTGTGTGTGAGTAGTGTGTGTGTGTGTATGTGTGTGTGAGCGAGAGAGAGAGAGAGAAAGAGAGAGAGCAGGGGGAAGTGCTAGCAAAATGTATGACATGCCCCAGTTGACAGGAGGGAACGAGAGAAAGATAGAGTGGGAAATAGGTGGGGAGAAAGAAAGACAGAGACAAACAAAGAAAAAGAGAATGCGAGCGATACACAGGGAGGGAGGGAGGGAGGGAGGGAGGGAGAGAGAGAGAGAGAGAGAGAGAGAGGTGACTACTCGATTGAAATTATGACATTGTTCTTTTCTTCAAATTGTGATTCCTCCAACTCCAAAAAACGGAGGACATACGATCGTTCATTGAAAAGACATCCGCAATTTTCATTTAGATCTAGATCTAGGCTAATCTCGAAACAAGATCAATGATTTATGTCTGTCCATCTAGATCAAGACATAGGCCTAAGATCTAGAAGAACCTAGGTTAACCATGAGCTAAGAGGACGCTGAAACTTTCCGAAATCCAGTGCTTCCACCAGCTGAAGCTGAAAAATAAGGAAAATTCTGCAGGGGGTCTGGGGGCCGCAGAGGCCCCCAGCAGGGTCCAGGGACAGCGTCCCGGTGGGGGTTGAGGGGGCGAAGCCCGCTTTAGAAATTGAAATTTAGTGCTTTTAGAGGGTAGAAAATGGCATTTGGGAGCCTGTTTGAAGATATTGCCTACAGCCCATAATATTTATTTTTTCACCAACATTTTGTCTTGTTTGATTTCATCACCAGCATATCTTTCCAATGCTGGAAATGTTTAAAAGTAGGTTCCCCTTTCATTGCTACTATAATAATATAATTCAATTAATTTGTAGTCGCACCATTGACAGCAGGCAAACCTGGGAATAATGAATAGATGTACCTTCAAAATACGGTTGCGCAGCGTATACCCACATTTTTTCTAAATTTTCATGTCTGAAAGTCGCC